TATATATATTATGACAAAATTATTAACTCATAAAAGTTAATCATTTAAACGTTTGCAGAAGTCAACCACTATAGAATGTCCAAAAGTTAGAATTAACCTGCTACTACCAAAACTGTCAAAAATATGTGGAAGAGTTCTGGTGGCAGGGCAGTTGCTTGCATTCCTTGGGTAAGTAGCAATGCGAAGTATGTTTGATAAGATGTAGAAGTAGTTGTGACACTGGAAGTTTGAGACACTGATATAAAATGTTCATTTATTGCAGCCCACTTTAATAGTAAGATTGCTTCAATAATCAGATGGAAATCTTTACTTAAGTGTGTATGATTTCAAGAATAATTTTTTTAATATGATAAAAAGTTACCATGGAAAGATACTTTCAGCTGTAGAGGTAAGTAGTATGAAATGGTCAGCCATGTGGAATTCATGTCATCAGCCTCATACCTAGCAAAAAAATTACTTTTGGTGGAAATAGAGCTTATTAGCAATTCCACCATTATGTTTATTTACAGGCTGCCAGTTCCTGTTTATAAGAGTGACTGGTTCTTCAAAATCTGGATGGGGAGCCAGGCAGGAATGTTGTAAATCTCAATGACACTTGAGATTTAGAAAGTTGACAGTGAAGTATAAGGAAGATGTAGTTGTCGACTGCATGGGAGTTCTGATCAGAGGAGACTTTAATAGAAAATACTCTTCCTGTCACAGTTCTAACAGACAATATATTTTACACTACTTGCATACATTGACAAAAAAGATGGAAGGTATCAACCTGAATGTATATCTAGCCCCAGATGTATTTGAGTAAACAATGGTTGCGTAGACAATGGTTGACTCCCAGTGTATATAATGCTGCTCAAATGGCAGTTTTATGTAGGTGTCTTCTCAGTCTTGGGGAGAAGCTTCTTTGAGAGTGTTGCAAGTTTTATAACTGGCCAGTATACTGAATTCAGTAGTATACTTCTGTCATCGTTTAACCCCAGCCGGCAAGTAAGCCCCACACAGCTGCTCGCTCACTCCCACCCAGTGGGATGGGGGACAGAATCAAAAGAGTAAAAGTGAGAAAACTCATAGGTTGAGATAAAGACAGTTTAATAGGTAAAGCAAAAGCCGCGCACACAAGCAAAGAAAAACAAGGAATTCATTCCCTCCTTCCCATCGGCAGGCAGGTGTGCAGCCATCTCAGGAAAGCAGGGCTCCATCATGCGTAACAGTGACTTGGGAAGACAAATGCCATAACTCCGAACGTCCCTCTCTTCTTCCTTCTTCCCCCAGCTTTATATGCTGAGCATGACGTCATATGGTGTGGAATATCCCTGTGGTCAGTTGGGGTCAGCTGTCCTGGCTGTGTCCCCTCCCAGCTTCTCATGCCCCCCCAGCCTGCTCGCTGGTGGGGTGGGGTGAGAAGCAGAAAAGGCCTTGACCCTGTGTCAGCACTGCTCAGCAGTAACTAAAACATCCCTGTGTTATCAACACTGTTTTCAGCACAAATCCAAAATGTAGCCCCATACTAGCTACTATGAAGAAAATTAACTCTATCCCAGCCAAAACCAGCATAACTTTTTCACCTGATTTTAGTTTTTCCTATTACCTGTCAGAATTTTTTTTTACTCAGGTTTAAGCATCAAGTAGGACTAAAATACTTTCTTGGTGACAGTCTAGTCTTTTGATTACCATAAGAGGCATGGTGCAAGGAGGTTGTGCTGTTAATACAGATAATGCTGATTTTTAGTAAATCTGAGAACATCTGCATTTATAGATACAGATTTTCGGGATCTCATACTTCCTTCTGAAGTGCCACCCCATAATTCATAATATATTTGGATCTCTGGAGAAGGCTTTAGTGCTGTTCCTCCATTCTGTATGGTTAAGACTCCAGTAAGTGGGGCATGCCAAAGGCTATGGACACTCCATCTGTCTTCTCAAACAGAAGAGGCTTCTCTTCTGAGGTGTTAATTGCATGATAGCAATCACCACTGGTGGCTAACAAATACAGCTTCGGCTTGTATAGCTGCTTTTTTGCTGCTCCAACTTCAGGAAGCTTATTCTCTAGTTGAGTACTGGTAGCTTTATCTCATTCCTTTTCTTTTTCTCTAAGCATTGAGCTGGACTAAGAAATGCCTCTCTGTTGGAAGTGATTGTTGTCTCAATCCTGAAGCTGTTGGGTTAGTAAGTCATCTTAGCACAATGATGAAACATCTGGATAATGTCATGCTAGGCTGCAGTTCATTGATACCTCAAGGCCTAGTTCACAAGCCATTAAACCAATGTGGTATTTGTTGGTAAGCTGGTATTCTGTACCCGAGTTGAATGTCCAGACTGAGGAACAAGGTTTTTTTATGAACTGGCTGACATCATACTAGAAACCTGAGTCTAGAAAAGGATATCTTACAAGAGTCTTCTGTCATTAAAAACAAAAAAAAACACACAAAGAAAAAATCACAAATCCAAACACTCCTGTGCTTTGTTTTAGACTGTGAGTACATAAGAAACTTGGTAATGGCCCATGTGGAATTCTGAATCTATTCTGTTTCAAACCCAAGCATATTTCTGGAGCTCACCCAAGGGAAAGCCATTTAATCATGATGAGAAACCAGCTGTCAGACCAATGTAACGAAACATTTCTCTGCTCTGGGAACTTTTCAGTAGCGTGAAAGTCACTGCAAGTCATGGTTGAGTCCTTTGTTGTCAATAAATTATCCAGTGAATTCAGCCTTTTTTCCTGTTAAAAAAAACTGTGTAAGCCCTAGCTAAGTACCTTCAGTGAATAATTTTTAGACTATGGATTATTCAGAGAGAATCCACTATGATTCTTACAGCAACTTATTAGTTAAGTCATGTGGTGTTTTCCTGCTCCATATTTGGATGCTGAAATAATACATAAAAGTTAATTTAAAAAACTATGTATTCATTATTACATCATACATTTTTAAGACAAAAAAAGAAAATACTTTTATGAAAACCAACAAAACCGCTATCTACTATTAAGGAAGCCATCATAAAATAACTTATTTTGGTGACACTTGTATGTGATGCTTGTGTTTTCTTTCCACAGAAGTTTTAAGCCAGGAAACCTTAGATTACTTTCCAGACTCTCAGTCTGAATCTAAAATGAAAATGTGAGCATGGTAAAAGCCAATAGCCCTCACGGTTAAGGACATACTGCTAAGATATCACTTGAAATGCACACTGCATGGAGTATACATCTAAAACTTTGGTTTGTATCAGATCTCTTCAGATGGCCTATTCCAGTGTCACCTCTGAAGCGATGTTTGAAATTGCATGCAGGTGCACAAATGTCATAAAGGGGGGACAAAGCAGTACTCGAAGAGTAACAACAAGCAGTGGATAATGTATCAACTTGGAATTCAAGAGAAATGGATATATTTTTTGGCTCTGGCGCTGGTTTCCTCAGTGAACTTGGTTGAGTCATCTCCCTTTAATGTTGTAGTAAAAAGATGTAAAATGATGATAGATATTTTTCTGAAGCCTTTTGAGAGGTCAATAAAATATAAAAGTAATGTATGTATTTGAGAAAACAACAACAGTGTTAATAACTGTAAAAATGGATAGCAGTAGTACTTGAGTAGAGGTGCAAATGATTTTCTGATAAAAAATCAAATATAACTATTATAATGTGATTGAGATAGCAGATACTTTGTTAGCCAAGTCCCTTTTTCCATCTCTGATACTTTCTGTGTTTCACAAGTAAGGTTTCACCGATCAGCACAAACTCTGTTTACTGCTTAATAAAAATAACATAAAAATACACTTTTTTTGGAAATCTTTTTCTTATTATGCATATTTTGCTGGCAGATTGTAATGCATATTGCTTCATTGTTTAATTAGGACTTAATGCTAATGTCATTAACATTCTATGTGATAATTCAGTGGGTTGCCTATTTATAGACATGATGAAAGTCGTAATTTTTTTGTAGTAAAGTGCTTTTGACTGTGCTATTAAATTAAAAATAATGTTAAAGTTATTCTAACCTGACGTTAGCTTTCAGTTTCATTGTCCATGCTCCAGTGAATCTGAAAAATACTGCTACATACACTAAACGTGTTTTTTTTTTAAATTATTGATTTTTTTTTTTTTAATAGAGCCTAACTCATCGTTTCCTTTGAGAAAGAGAAAAGAAACAGGTGGAATTAAGCAGGAATCTCAAAAAACTGAGATCTGAAGTTTGAAATATTGTTCTCCTTGAAGACTGTTTGGAGTTACAACACTGAATTTAAGTAATCAGAATCTTATCAAAATTTTATTCTGTGGTACTGCTTATAAATCAGGTAACTAGGCAGCACTTTACCTTTCAGTTTATTACCACAAGTATGGATGTGTGCTTTATTTGTGGTTACAAAGTGCAAAATAACTGCTGAATTCTGTACTCCATGTCATCTCTTTAGTATGGACAATGAATTCTATGGATTTCTTTCTACACGGTCTTTTTCTGAGCATTTGTAATATCTTATTTGCATAAATGATCTCCTCTCCTAGAAAGGTTTTTAGAGAAAAGCAGTGGGATGCCTGTAACAAAAATCAGTAAGCACAAAACTGTGAATGAAGTACACTTCAAGGAACTCCTAATAATTATGGCCCTATTTTGGATAGTATTTCATCTGATGTCCTTTTGTACTTAACTGATAAATATGGTATGTATACAGTGATCATATTGTGCACATTCTTATTTTAATTCACCTTTTTACAGCTTGGATTATGCATACTTGTAGGGCTTTCTTTCTGTACTTCGTAACATGTCCCAGTTTAATTAAACATGTCTTCTCATCGTGTGCTCTACACTCTCTAATCTTTGAGTCAAACACGATCAAGGAGATTTAATGGTGCCAGGCCAATGAATACTACTTGAAAAATAAGTGGGAATTAATAGAAGGTAAAGGAAATATATTTAAGTGCTGCCCCTTCCCTACCTCCATTATGTACACGTGGGGTGTTCTTGGTGGTGGGAATAAAATTTGGTGAGAGGTGATAAAATAGTTTGTACTTCATGGGCTCGGAGGACTTGCAGGAAGGCTGTGGTGTCCTCCCCGTGACGCTGATGGTGGATGCTCACCAGATGGGGCTGAAGGCCAGCACTGCCGGTGGCGTGGCCTGTCTCCTCTCTGGCCTGGATTGTGGCACCGGCAGCAGGAGGCCTGGGCTGGCACGCCTCAGCAGCGAGGTAGGAGAGCCCTTGCGAGGTGGCAAGGGGTATGTCTGTAGGCAGTGCTGAGGAAGAGGGTCTGCATGTCTCTGCTCCCTGCTCCTCTCAGCTGCTATGCTGAAGGACTTGGTGCTCCTCTCCCATCTACCTTGCATTCGTGATGCCTCTTCTGTCCAGTACATACTCAGTTACTCCAGAGGGAGAAATAATCCCCCTTCTTCCTAGGTGGTTACACTTGACCTTGTCACTTCCTTCTTGAGAAAAATATAAACAAGTAAACTAAATCTGTGGTGTGGTACAATGCAGGATGGCACAAGCGAAGGCCTGGCCTTTTGGGTGGCTCCTCTGAATCTCTTAAAGCTTTGCAGTCGATAAATAATGGCTTCTCTGACCAAGGATGGTCGCTGCCAAGTGGAAAATGCTGTTATGACACCTCAGCGTTCAGCCTGTACTCACTGTTTTCAGCTCCACGGGAGCTGAAGTGATGAACCACCATTGACCAGCTCATCCTGCACAGGGAAAACTAAATGCAACTCTGGATGTAAATTTTGGAATTTTATGGATTTTTAGAGGAATTTGAGGTAAGTTTTGAGTTTCTTCTAGGCACTTCTGTGGGTGTCATCCTTGGTGATTTTGGAAAGAAGACTAAGAACTAAACAAGCTAAGAAAATTGTTCTCTGAACTTGACTGGCATCTCCATAATGCTGGGCTGAGAGAGGCTTCCTCCAGGAAATCTCGTACTGCGCCGCTCTCTGAAGCAGCATTCTTTACAGTATTGAGTCTGGTTGGTGTTACGGATGCTATGGTAGCTTCACACTGCAGGGCTTAAACCTGTTCTTATTGAAATCAATAGATATTTTTCTTATAAAGCCACCTGGAAAGGTTTTTAAAGGATTATTGGAATTTTTGGATTACCACAGATGAATTCATTCTGTTTCACTGAATTGAATTACAGCACCATATCTGTTGCTAGTATATTAATAAAATGTATGAAGCCAGCCTTAAAATGCAGTTCCTTTGTGAAGAGACTTTAAAAAAAAAAAGAATAAGCCAGAAGGATTTTTCCAAGATGCGTATTTTTCTCCAAGTAATGTTGCATACAGAGTGGAGATTGCTGCTTCTATTGAATTGCATAATGAAAAATCAATCAGTTTAATGGTTGACAAACTTTGACATTCAAATAAAAATGTTGCTGGTATTTTCATTAAGACCTGTAGGCAAAACTAGATTCAGTGACTTTAATTTATGCAATAGTAAATGTCTGCCAAAACATTGTACAAATGACTGTATAATGAGGCAATAATAACTATGAGGAATGGAAGGAAAGCAAACAGAGGCCAAATTTCTCAGTTTTTACAGATTATGTAATTTTGCAAAGCCTTTCAGTGTAAAATATGTTTCTACAGCATCCTTTTCAACAATACATTCTGTTTTGAAAGCAATTGCTCAAAATCATCAAAACACATTTATCTGAAACTGTTGTGTAGTATCAGATTGCAATGTTTAGTTTTTCTACTTGTTCAGTCTTCTACCCAGACTGCATTTACTTCTTGACCACTTCTCACCTTACTGTATACTCTGCAAAAACTAGCTAAATGAAAAAGCTGTGTTCATAGTGGTTCTATTATATTTTTCATGTGCCTGTGAGCAAAAAGAAGGATAAGAGAAGTCCTTCTGTGAAGGGGAAAAAGAAAACAGCAAAAGGCTTGACAAGCTGCTGGTTTTGCATGTGTGGTTGTTCTGACTGTTTTGGGTTTTTTTATTTTCTTTGATTCAGAAGGGAAAGAAATCGCAGTAAGGGAAGAGGACACCTTTGTTCCTCATTCATTTCTGCTTTTAATGTATGTTTGAACACAGTACTGAGAGGAAGAGCAAAGGGAGTGCTGAGCCATGCTACCACTTTGAGCCTTTAGGCACTGCCATCCCAGAGGCAGCAGACTGGCTTAATAAATCCCATTAGCCTCTCTTCTTGCTCAAGCGTTGTCTAGCTTCAAGCTTTTCAGTGTCATTTAGTCCAATATACTCATCCTTCCTCCAGTCATCTTTACTTTGCTCTTTCTTTGCCCTATTCCTACACGCTTCTTGGAAGTTTCCCTTCCCAATCCTAGGATAGGCTGCAAGGAGCAACTGGATGACCTCTAGTTGTATGAAGAGGTCTCAAACTGGGAAATTGAGGGGCACAAAAGATTGAATTAGAGAATTGGTGTCTTGGGGGTCCTGACATCAACTGAAGTTTAATACAACCGAAGCAGAATTCCTTTTACAAAAAAAATTCTTTTCCACCCATACCCTTTGATTTCAAAGCATGGCTGGCTGTTACTCAGGCTCTTGCTCATATAGATGGTAGTGTGTTTTGGCTGCAACCATATGTGTCAGCTTGTTCAAGGCCTCTTTGGTCACAGAGTTTTTGAGTGCTTCATTAATGTCAATAGCAAGTTTTGCCTTGCTTTCCTCTTCTTAGCACTGTTAACTACTTGAATCTTCTAAGCTTTGCACAACTTTCAACTCCATTCCATTCCGATATGCTCTGGGTATTTTTGTTAATTCTTTTTACCGTAATTACACCAGCTTGATCCAATTTGCCCTTTTTTTCATTTTCCTTTCATGCATTATCCCAAGCTTTGAATACCCTTTTAAAACTGACTTATAAGATTACTAAATTTTTTTAGTATAATTATGTGCCTGAATTCAAGATATTAACTAAACTAGATGTAACTTTTATTGCGTTGTCTAACGGGGAAAAAAAAAATATACTCCTCCTGTGCTGCATTCCAGCCCTCACAAGATAACATAGCTGCTTTACAGCCACCTGCCCGCCCTACTTCAGTTGTCACCTGCCTCTTGTCTGTTTGACTTACTGTTATGTTGTGTTGAGTTCTTCAAGGTAGTGACTGTGTCTCTTTCTATTTCAGTAATGTCTAATAAACTTCTTGGTGCTATATTAAATAATGTGCCAGGTGACTCACACATTATCACTGGTTAATTGTGTTTTGCCACTTCTTTTCTCGAAGAAAATAATGCTTTTCATTTTCGTTTCAGGAAGATCAGGGGAGTATTCCCTTTTCATTCCAGGGGATTAATGATAATTATGCTTATTTTCCACCTTTATCATTCTTCTGATTTTTGTCTTGATATGATGACTGATTTTTAGTATCTCTGTTTTATAACTGGCAAAAGCAAATTGAAGAAGTTAATTGATTTCCCTATGGCCATAGATGGAACAAATGGCAGAGTCCAGATTAAAGCGTTGTTCCCATTTTTTCCTTCTAGCTAAAATTAGAGGTAAGTTACTCATACCTTTCATTTCTATAGTAATTTGTGTGGTGATCTCCTCGCATTTCTCTATCAAGGAGAAGTCTGTAGTATGTTTTATTCAAGAGCTTTGCATTATGGTTGACGTTAATGCCTAGATGGAAGCTGGTATGGTAAATGTCTGTTCCTAAGTGTAATGAGTTTTTTTGTTTGTTTAAATATAATCAACTGTAGTATTTATTGGTACTGACATATCTCACAAATAGTTAATGATTTTCAGGACAAAAATGTTATGCCGTGTTTACACTTTGGAAAAGCTGTAGCAAGGACAGAAATACAGCCATGGCTCAAAGTCGCATCCAGTGTGCGAACAGGGACTCTGTTCTTTTGCAATAGGGTTCTGGGGCTTTTCAGCTCTCTTTTTTAAGCGGTATGTGATAGGATTCTGAGCTACTGAAAACAAGGTAGAGCCCCTTAGCTGTCCTAGTATCAATCATAAGCAAGGGAGCATGTATATACTCAGGTATTTCTTTCCCTGTCATAGATGTGAATGAACTCTTAAGGCATAGGGGGTTTGGTACTTAAAAACTTAAACAATTACTCACGAGGACACAAGTTTTTCTCAGTGTTTGGGAGATTCTTGTTTCCTGTTGACACTTTGCAACATGAAAGGAGCACACGTGTTGCATCTAAAGAGCAAGACAATATTTGATATTTACTGTAAGATGAAAATAAGCATTAAAAACTCAAAGAAAATACAAACTTGAGGAGGCAGTAGCTGATTGACAGCTGTGGAAGTCATTTTTCTTTCATGATTCTGGCATTTCATGCATTGCTAAATGTCATCCACAGCTATCTGTTGTATCTGTCAGTAAGGGATACGGTATGACAGCTGCTCTTCACCGTTCCACAGCATCGGTTCATTCAGTAATAAGCTTCCACGTATTTTTATCTTTGTTGTCTCTTTCTTAACAGTTCAAAAGAAAAGCAGATAGTGATTACAGTTGATACTGAATTCTCCCCAGTGCCAACGTCTCGAGTAAGCAGCCTTATGTGCTAAATAAGTTATTAACAATAGGTCTCTTCCTTCTTGGTGCAGTGCTATAACATACATGAAGTTCCTGCAAGCACATTGTGCATTCTTAACACTATCCCATTATGCAGGCTTCAGCATCTAAAGGTAGGTCAACATATTATCTTTAGAATGGATGTATGGATAGAAATGCTGGCTTCATATTCTGAAGTTGACCTTTTTTGCTGGTGGTATATAGTTTGGAGTGTATATAACAAGCACAGGTGGAACTGAGTTTTTAGCTAAGCCATCTTCTTACATATGATCATTGTTACGTGACTGGTTTTAGGAAAATAACATATTTATTCATTTTATGTCAAGAAATACGGCAAAATCACGCACTCCTTACTGAAATCTCTTCACAAATCATTGCTATAACAGTGTCTTTTTAAAATGATTGTATGCATTCTGAATCTTTCATGATTTTACCACTGCTGTAAGTTTAAAAAAAAAAAAACAAACACTTTAAAAGTTATTACTGATGTTACTTAGTAATGCATAGGCTTAGCTTTGATATATTTGGTTATCTTGCTAAGCCTGTTAAGCAACAATTGTCAGTAATTGGCTTTATTATTTTTTATAATTAATATAGCTATAGTAAGTGCAGTAATCTAATATGTAAAAAACATAAATACAAGATTTTTTCCAAAGTTCTAATTTAGAATTAGATGCCTGACTTCAGTCAGAGAAGAGACTGGTATCAAATGCTTGCTTCTGCCTTTGAAAACTTACCCCTAAAACTCTTCGGGCAAATGAAGTGATATGCATAGTATATATTCTTGCTTTTTTTAATTGACTCAGAGCTGCTCAGTTGCAGTAGATGTGCTACTGCAGGCAGCTGTTGGAAAAAATCTTTTAGATCTAATGGTAGAGACCTGCGATTTTTGAGCCAGATGGACTGAATTCTGTCACTTCTCAGCTCTGAAGTTCTGTGTATCTTAATTTTCAGACTCCTACATCTTTGAAATTTTAAGTGGTACATATTTGGCTTAGGTCATACTTTTTTTAAAAGTCTTTTATCCTAAACTATAAGGGAACCAATATCCACAGGATATGAAAATGTCAATCAAAAAGGCTTAACTTCTTAAACGTGTTGATTTGCATGTTTGTATAATTTACACTAAATATCCAGCACTGTATGAGATACTTAATAAACTAAGAAATAAGATTGGTACTGCTGATCTACAAAATGAGTCTGTTTCATGAAAGTTATGTAAAAGATTACTGAACTGAGACCGCTGTTGGCTTTAAATTCATATAATGCCCAATACACCAACAAATAAGCAGTGGATATTTCAGATATTAGATGAGTAGTTAACATTTATTTCTCCTTACAGCGATGTAGTTTTAGGTATACTCAGTAAGCTTTCTGTAATGTCAGACAGTGATTATTTAGGTGAAAAATGAGTTGTAGTGGGGTTTTTGCATACCACCATCTTTTTTGTTCATTGCCAAAATGTAAACTTACCATTTAAAAGCAGTCTCACAGAGTAACTATAGTGAAAAGGAAGATTGAGAAACACCGAGTTACATGATGACAAAGAAAGTGGTTTTTAGAGTCAGTCTAT